AATAGGCAATCGTTCGATGGGCTGAATTGCACAGAACGCATGATCGCACCGGCTAGTCTGGTGCGCTTTCCTATTTATTTTTAAATTGAAAAAGCACAAGTGTACTGGCGTGAAATGCTTTTTCAGGAGCAAGCAGTGCCAGAGTGTTGTACTGGTTGAAGAAAGTGCAGTGAGCCGGGATGGGTGAATTACTCGATTTACCCAACGAAGTGATTTTGATCATATTCAGCTTCATACCGAGCCGAGATTTGTGGCAGAATGTTCGTGCAACGTGTCGACATCTCTCACGGCTCCTCGCCGACCAGAAGTATTGGAAGTTTAAATTGCAGGTTCGCTGATGTAAATGCAGCAGAGCTTCAGTGTATAATTATGGCGGCGGCGAGTTGCTAGGGTACAAAGTCCCAGTCCCATCATGGTAAATGTTGTAAGGGAGTCAGCCAAAATGTGCAGCTTTTAGTCAGAACGGCACAGAAACTCACAAACAGAACGCATAATTTATTAAAAGACAACAAAATCAATTTAAAATCAACTTGAAATGCACCAGGCTTGCCACTACGATAATGTGTTTTAGCATCAGACTGGAAGTAATCAGGTCGTTAACTGCATGAATGGTTGTTGCTTTACACATACTTTCTGCATTTACTGGCGTAGTCATCGTACATTTTATATAGAGAAAATGAACAATTTCCGTTTAACAGTCATTCGTTGAAAATGACTTGACTTTTCAGTTAGCAGTTTCCCCGCCAAAACTTTAAGTACCTATACATGAGAACTGCGTATACCTGAAGGCTGAATTTTAAATCTTTATGTTGTACTTGAAAAGCGAACACTCCGCTAAAATTTCAGCCTCGCAGATTTTCTGGTTGCCGAGTTAACAGTTTTCCTGTCAAAACTTCTATGTACGCGTAGGTGAGGACAACGCATCTCTATGGGCTAAATTTTAAATGTTTAGCGCGCACATGCACAGAGAGTGTCCCTGCAAGGCTTTAGCCCCCTACCTTGCCCGGCTGTCGAAATCGCTTGCCTGTCAAAAAATTCGCATATTTTTAAAGGCGCCTGTACACCATACCCAGACGTACGCAGATGATAATACTAGGACCTGAAGGTGGCACAAGTGATAGGCACATACTCCCAAAGTTTCGGCTTTCTAGCTTTTCTGGTTCTCGAGTTGGAATTGGGTGACAAAAAGTGTGAGCACACAGACACGCATACGCACCCTCCTACCAGTATGCGTTTTTGCATTTGCACATATGCAAAAATGCATAGAAACGGCGAAGCTTGAACGAATAGATTCAACAATGTTAAAATGTTAAACAAAACCGTACTTATGTAAATATAGGTGAAGTGACATGAAGGATATTTTACATTTTGAAAGGGCTAGATTGCAGTTTTAAGCAGGGGAGAGGTGAGGAATGGGGCGGGAGAAGAATGGGCCTGAAGACTACGAAAGATTTAAAAAAAAAAAAAAATGTTGAAAGTAAAGTGCCACTCCTTTTCTGTGAGCCTTGTGTCTTCACTGACTTTTTGGTGGATTCTTTGAAATATTCGGTATTTTTCATAATTTTAGTTGGCCAGGAGACTTGGCAAACGTCAGGTAATTTCCGTGCCTGCAGATCTTTACCCTTCCATGAGAACATGAACGGAACAGTCCAAACTGTGACAGCTTTTTGTATGTTTTGAAAAACAAATGAAAATTTAGTTTCCTACAGTTGATTTGCAGTAGTGTGGAGCATGGTGCTGTAGCTCTGTTTTCGTGCCGATTGTAGAAAATTCGGCGCTGCCATTGTGACAACCAGTTCCTCTCCGATTCATTTATTAGTTTCGATAGCAATATAAATCACGTGCTGTGTAGTCAGAACGCCATCAGCTTCATTTTTAGCACCGCCGAATTAGGTAGCCAGTAGTGAGGATCCACTTCGTGGCATTGAAGCAGATGAAAATTGAATAATTCTTTGACAATCAGTTCTAAATAGAGGTCCTCTGGGCAACCGATGTGAGTTTCTCGGGTTTTAGTGGTGTTGCTCTCACACATCGGATGATGCTTCAGTGTATAACAAAGTCCTCTTTTCATCCTTCCGGGTTACGATTTTGTTCGGTTCTTCGCCGTGTTTCACGCGCACCACAAACATCACATAATATTCTTTCATTTTTTGGAGAAGTTGATTCGTGAGTTCGTCCCTAGAAGTTCAGCGGCTTAAATACTGAGACGTCCAGACTGCTCTCTGACGAAGTCCATCTAAAACCTGAGCCTTTGCTCCCCGAATTTATGTTCATTCATTTTGTTCCCCATAATGCATTATATAACATGCATTTGGCTTCTTGTGTGCATAGCTGCTTGACAGTTACCAAATTACTAACCACTGGTCAAGCTGATTTGATTTTGTACCACCCAAGCTTAGCCAAAGTGCGCCAAGCAATTCTCAACATGCTTCAGGCTGGCAGGTCTCACCCCCCCTCCCCCCACCTACGCCGTGTCCGTCACTGTGTAAACCGCTACCACTTACATATCACATCGGGGTGTATTTGGTCAGTTTTTGAAGCGAATTCATACCGTAGAGCGAGTGACATAAAACTGAAAATAAATAGCGACGCGCACCAGGGCAGCCAGCGAGATCATGCGTTTTGTGCAATTCCTTCCACCGAACGATTACCTGCAAAAGATTTTCAATGCTTTGCGCTTTGGTCTGTGCAAAAATAATTGAAATGTTGTCTAGTTCTTAAGTTGCGGGTTTTCCCACTAAAAGTTTCATGCACACGAGATAATAAATCCTCTATCAAAACTTCCACAGGGCCGCACGTGGTACACAGGAGTGCGTGAAGGCTGGATCCAAATCTGCGAGGTCATACGTCTGTAATGAAGATCATCCTAAAATTTCAGATTCTCAAATTCCGCGGTCCCCCAGATAATAATTTTCCCCGTCGAAATCTTCATGGCACCGTAAGTGATACTCGGATGCGCGAGAAGGCCGAATTTAAAATTGCAGGATTGTATGTGGACAGAAGACATTACCGTAGAATTTTAACTTCCTGGCCTTTATGGTTCCCGAGATAATAATTTTCTCGTCGAAATTTTCAGGGTGCGTATGTGAGCAGGGGGTCATTACTGTAAAATTTTAGCTTCCTAAATTTCGTGGTTCCTGAGGTAATAATTTACCTGCCAAAACTTTCACGGGGACGTTCGCGTTACCCTCGGGCTGGAGAAGACTGAATTTAAATTTTCTGGATCGCATGCGGGTAAGGGACATGCTCACAAAATTTTAACTTTCTAGCTTCCTTGATTCCCGCGATAATAATTTTACTCACCTAAATTTTTACAGGGCCGTACGTGTTACCCATAGGCGGGGGAAAGCTGAATTTAGATTTTCAGGGTAATACGTGGGCAAGGAACATGTGCATAAAATTTCAGCCTTCTAGCTTCCGTGGTTCACGCGATAATAATTTTACCCACCTAAATTTCTACTGGGCCGTATGTGTTATTTGCGGGTACGGAGAGGCTGAATTTAAATTTGCGGGATCACATGTGGGTGGGGAAGGTTCCCGTAAATTTCCAGCTTCCTAGCTTCTGTGGTTCCCTAGTTGAAAGTTGCGGACAGGTTACTGAAGACACACACACACAGACAACCCCGTGACAATATCCATTTTGTACTGCTATTACACAGCACAAAATGCATAAAAAGAAGGTTTGAATAGGCAGAGAGCTTCTGATCTTAGTGCTGAGCCTGCTATTATCAGTTTGTATTTTTCAGAGAGTGCATTCAGTGCACTTATCGGAGTATGATTTAACCGCTTCAGCGTCATTTTTATCGTTTAACTGCGCAAAAGTGGAGGAAGAGAGGGAACGATGGAGCGACAATAGGTATACATGTTTGATAATGTTTGGAAATACCTTCACGTTTTTCTTTGTAGTCTCTGTGAGTGATATGTGTTGCTGGAATGCTTTCACACATCGAACACAATTCTGCCTGCTTCTTTGGTCTGGACCTGCTGACCTATGGCTTAATACCTGTTACTTGTTCGATCTGTTTAATTCTTCGGAATCCTCTCTGTTGGACGTTTAATTTTCCACGGTTATCACTCACTGATGCCCGACATCTACCGGTCATCAATACTGCAGTAGTATGTCTTATTCAAGTATGCCGGCACTTCGCGTCAGCTTTACGTTGGTTTTCAGACTCGCTTTTCTTAGCGTTAAGCTTCTGAACCATCTCACTGGTCTCTCCAACACTGCTCGAGAGGTGTAAGTGGTTTAGCTGCTTGTCCGTGATGTTTGTTCTCCTCTTTTTCAGTGCAGCTTACAAAAAAAAAAATTTTCTTAACGTGCCGCTTGATATTTCCTGATTGATGTTGCGTTTACTATATTTCGTTCGAAGCCGAAGCTTTGTCCACATTATGCGCTAGCGGCATCCCGTACTGAAGCAAGCAAACATGTTCCCGGGAATGAGCAGTAGAATTTGTTTCATTCTTCACTTTGCATTTGGTCTGTTTCGGTTCTCTGTTTTCCAGTCATCTTGCCATTGCCATACCAACTGACAGAAGTAGGCATGAAACTGGAAGAAGAAACTGTCTCTGCACAAAAAACACAGAAAAAATCCATCCTCCTCTTGCCCATTTGCATTGAAATCCTCTACGCAATCCTGCATACAATAAACTTGATGATTCGTGCTCAACATCGAGCCCTTCAGCCTCGTGGTCGTCACTGGTCATGTTGGAGACATAAACTTGGTTGTATTTGAAAGTTTTGCTAGCATCTGGCCTAATTTGGGGATTTTTTGCAAGTGTATGCCAGTTGTAGTGGAAGTGACAGGGGATGATTTGCGAAGGCCACCTTCTGCCAACGATAAGCCCTACTCTGTCTCCATTTGTGTTAGCCTATATCGGCAAAATTAGTTTAGGTTATTGTGTTCTTCATATTTCGTCGTGTCATGCACATAACGAAAACGGAAGAAAATTTTCTGTCGGCTCTCTGATGAATGTAGTTTGGATATCGAGAGGTCCTCTTCCTTTTGTATAGTCTTCCGTTATTCTCTTAGTTTGGTAATCTCCTATGCTCTGATTGCCTATTTGGCTCCATAGATTGAGCAGAAGAGTGATTATAGTATTGTACTAAGTCCAGTGTTTTAGTTGCTTCATTTCATATCATTCCCCATACGTCGTACAGTATACATTTTACGTCTGTGCTCAGCTCCATGATCTTTACCGGCTGGTAATCCGCTGCTCTGTCCAATCCTTATCGCTCAAGTTTAGTCGGATAGGCTGTGGTACAGCTTTTTTTTTCGACATATTCCGATACGCCTTGGTTGTCATCCCATTGCTCTTTGATTGACTGATAGTAGTTTGCCGATTGCACTTACTGGCTATCGAGGACCATGATGGTGCACTCATCCAGGAGGATTCTGTTTTCTGGGCAAGCTGCAGCACCAGCTTGCTATCGACGCGAATTTAGGAGAAATTGATAACTCTAGCTGTTGGGTACGAATCACTGGCTTGGGTCTTAGAGTAAGCGCTGCATTCTACTACCGCATACTTGCCGGCTTTGGCTGGACATATTGTCCAAGAAATGCGTGAGAGATGCGGGGCAGTGTGGTTTGCGTCTGTTTTCGAGTGAGTTTCTGTTGCGTCGTTTGAGTTTAAAGAAGATGTTGTAGCTTACATCGATTTGTCATTACAACAGGACATGACGGTTCAGTAGATGCGGTAGCGTTGATGCAATCTTCTTCTCATAAGCGACTATGTATCTCCGGTGCCAGAGATCGTGCTTTAGTTGTTTGGGATATAGATGTTATGGAGGTAAATGCTTTTTATTCCCTTTTCTTTTTCCCAATCACACTTCAATGTATAGTTTGCCAACCTACTTCTTACAGAGCTTATAAAATCAAGATTTATGCATTTTGGGAGCGAACGCGGAGTGTTGAATCGAAGGGACTATGCACCCCTTCCCCTCAGTGCTTTTGCTGAATGCAGTAGCATATAGTTGCGAAACGTGGACACTAACGAAAGCAGAGTATGACGCACAGAGTAATGGAGCGATGCAGTCATCAAGTGCTTTTTTTGTGAGCGTATAAGCAACCAAACGTTAAGATGGGATGCAGGATCTCGTTGCGATTGCTTAAGAAAAACTGAAATGTGAAAAATGCGGTATATGGAAAATCATGGAATACAACTCCCTTCATCAACAACTGGCATCCGTGCCTGGAAAAAAAGCAAAAAAAGAGGTAAAAACGTGAAAACCTAAGAAGAGGTGTTGAACCTCAGGCGATGAATTCTGCTGAAGAACTGCAAGGGTCGAAGATGGACATTTGGGCGCTTTTTTACAAAGTTGAGACTGCACACCAAAAGACTGCCTTTTATACTCCTTCAGAATGTTTGGCCCCACACACTACGCTGAACTTTTACTCATAAATCACGGGGCATACAGCTACTAACCAGTGCCCCAGCTATGCGCAGTACAAACATCAACGGTTACGGCACTCAGGAGGCAGAGGCAAAGTGTAAACTTAAACCGATGCCAACACGCAACAGTTCAGAAGGCAATCGAAAAAGTGACCCTATTACGACAGCCTGAGATCAGATCGATAGTTTTTTTTTTCTTTTATCTGTTTGAAGCTTTGAAATATTTTCCATTGCAGAATGAGGCCGTTGAAGAGAAATGGAAAGTTTATGAAGTTTTGGATTCTCATCAAGTAATTTTTAACGGGTTTAATATATAACAACTTTTCAACTTGCCTAAAGCAGATGAGTATTGTTTTGGAACACGGTCATGTGTTTTTGCGTCTGCGTAGGGTTTGTTATGCTAACGGTGAAGGAGGCTAAGAGTGCTTTTCTGACCTCATGAGGGTTGTGTCCTTTCAGTTTTCTAATTTATCTAGTTATCAGTTTGAGCCATGCGAACTGGTGTGGTGCTCTGGGCTTGCGATAAGTATTTTTTTATAACTCACTGATATGAAAACGCACAAAAATGCTTGCTGTGGACCACTTGCATCATTTGTCAGCTCCAAACTGGCAACTTTTCTAGTCCCCTTAATCAGTTCTGCATCACGCGGTGATGGGCTTGTTGGCTGTTGTGGCGTTCTTTGTGTCTCTTAAAGAAATTGCCGACTAAACTGTTCACCCGACATGTACGCTTGGCGTGATTCTAGCGAATTAGAGTTGATTTTGGTATATGTTAAGTATCATCGCCTCCTTGCGAACGATGCTACCTCTTAGACCATGTTGAAATATCTTACCGACTGGGGAAGAAATGACTATAGTTATCAAAATTTTATGTCTTATGCTCAATTTTCTGTTTCTGATCCGATTCACCAGCTCACAGAATTTAATAACGCAAACGGTTTTGTGAGGAAAAATATAGTTCCAGCAATCAGGCCTGGAGCACTGACAAAAAAAATTTTCATCTTTAATTTCTTTATTGGTTCATTTATGATCAGTTTTGCATTCTTTTACTGTTACTGCGACCATAGGGATGGATATGGAGCCTGTGCAAAGCCGACAACGATACATTTTTCTCAAGTGGTTGGGATCGTTTTGTGAAACAATGGCGAATCGTTGATGATCATGTTAAAGTAAGCACCTACCATTCAGTGTCGTGCATTACATTAATGAGGATTCTTCAAATTTATATGTATGAAGCAAAGAAGTACAAAGAGGGATTCAAAACTTTTTTTTTTGGCAGTTGGTTGATTTTGAATTTTGCAAACGTCCTCGTTTCTAAAATATGAGAAGAGTGCAACGTAAGCATTACGCTTCCACGATGTTTCAGCTTGTAAACGAACAT